CAGAATGAAGACACCTGGCTACTGAGGGAAAATTTAAATTAGGAATATTTTATTTGAAATTTATCCTAAAGAAAGAGTTGTAAGTAGGTAGTGGCATGATCCACCAACGCCCACCCTTCACCCCCCACAGCTATCTAGTGTAGAATGGGCCATAGAGGGGCAAAAATGGAAACAGGAAAACCAGAAGGCTAGGCCAGCAGTCCTTGTCAATATCAGAGGCCAGTCATTTTCACCTCCTAAAGGCCTTCCTGGAACAGCCCTAAAAATGTCATATACAATCTTAATTCTTAATGCCTCTGGTATAGACATCATCAACTGTTTAGAGCAGGAGTAGGCAAAATTTGTCTGTGAGGGCCAGATTTTAAATATTTTAAGCTTTGTGGGCCACAGTGTTCTGTATTAACTGCTCAACTTTGGAGACTGAAAGCAGCCATAGGCAAACAGTATACAAGTGCATCTACATTCCAAATAAATTTTATTTATGGACACCAAAATTTGAAATTTTCGTATTTACAGGTCACAAATATTCTTTAGATTTCCATCCCCATTAGTAACATTTAAAAATCATCCTTGTTCTTAGCTTATGAGCCATTGAAAAACAGTGAGAGGTGGCCTGCCAATCCTACGTTACTCACCCATGGCTTAGTTCATTGCTGTGACCTCCTAGCCAGTCTCTAAACCCCTTTCCTACTCTAATATTCCCCCACCACCATGGCCAGTGTTCCTTTGAAAACTGCCAATCATGACACCATCTTACTTAAAATCTTTCAGTGATTACTGTTACCCAGATAGGATTGTCTGCATTCTCTAGTGTAGTTTCCAGGACCCTGGAATTCTCTAATTTACCTCACATTCTTTTTTATACCTCACATTCCTTTAATCTTCAGTGATCTTTTAACCATTACTTCCTTTGGGCTATCACATACTACAGTACCCCTCTACTTACACTTCCCCTCTCTCCCTTCTTCATCTGCTTTAGCCTTCATCCTTTAGGTCTTACCTCAGATGTCTCCCTTCCTAACATTGTATATACTATACTAATTAAACCTTCCCTGCCAGACTGAGTTTCTGGAGCATCTAGTAAAGTATCTGACATGAAGAATGTGGTGTAGAAACTTGGATTGCAGAAGGTACTTTGGCAGAGTGGTCAAGTGGGCACCTGTGTCTGTAATGCAGAAGACAGAAGCTTGCAACAATGTGTATGTAGAAAAGTGGATATTCTAGAGCTAGTATTCTTTTGTTCCAGCTCCAGATGACTTTCACAGGTAAAATGTTTCCGCGAATGGCAGTTCTGCCAACACTAAGGACAATTAAGTATGCCCCATAGGCTGGAGAGCGTTTTTACCCAAGTGGAGTTACAAAGACACATCAGCGTCTCTTGGATTAAGTGAGCAACCTTTCCCATTTAACTGCTTTAGAGATGGCTTCTCTGCAGAATTGTTTAACGTTTGTTTTTAAAATGTTACTTTAAAGTATCATTATTTACTCATCCAATTTCTTCAGTAAGCTGTTGTTAAAGAAACTAGTTTCCTTGTAGCCACTTCTCTTATCATTGCAGAGGTAGTACTCAAGCACTGGATGCCTATAACCAGTTCATCTCCTGTTCCTAAACCCCAGCTCTTCATTCCAGTTCTGCCAGCCTGTCACCTCCAGGGGCACATACTGCCTAGTATGGTGACCAGAGTTGGGACAACTCCAGTGCCTACCTTTAAGTGATGTGAAAGCCAAGGGGTTCATCCTGAACCTTTGCAAATTTTCATCTTGCCCCCCATTTCTAACAGACTCTGGTCCAAAATCATACTCCCTTCTTCTTGGACAGTCTTCTCCATCCTACTCTCCTGGCTAATCCCAATCACTGTCAGTACTTACCTCAAAGGCCAGCTCTTCCAAAAAGCTTTTCTTCTTCTCAACCTCTGTCTCTGCACTCTGCTCATATGGCACCTTGCCAAACCTTTCTTAGTCATGTAACAAATATTTATGGAGCACTTGCTAAGAACTAGATGCTCATCTCTAGTCAGTGATGGGGACCCAGCAGTGAAAAAAAAGATTCAATTTCCTGCCCTCAAAAGGACTCACATTCTCTAACAGTCACGACATTAAATCAGAACTGTGCCAGCATGAGCCACATCTTTGTGGCATCAGTGCCCAGGAAAGAGACTGGCACAGGATGCAGGTACCAGGATTAACTGAAGTCAAGTGGATGGCCCATCACAAGCATGTCAGCTCAAGATAAGATCCCAGCAGCTCACTGTCTTTCCTATCTCTTTGTCATTCTATCCTATTATGTGAAGATCACTCCTCCACGAGGTCACAATCATTTCTCCTGTGTTCCTTGAGCTGTTTACTTAGCTGTACAGTTACAAGTTTCTATGCTGTAGGACCCTGTAACTATTTCTTTTTTTTTAAAGATTTATTTATGCATACAAGAACCAGGGTACAGGCCAGATGCGCAGGAGGGTGAGAGGATTCACCAGAGACAGAGCAGGGAACAGAACAGGCAGACTGATGAAATACACTGCTGAGGGGAGCAGCAGGCGAGACAGGAGAGGTCTGCCACGCCATGTGGGATTCTTACCAGCGGGCTGGGATCGAATCTGCGCTGCAGAGGCTGCAGACAGCTTCACAGTGCCGCACTCAACGCCTGCACCACCAGGGAGGCCCTGTAACTATTTCTCTTGACCCCACTATACTGAAATGGCCACTTTTCACCAGGTTCTATGAGTCACCTAATTCAGCTGTCTGCTATCAATACTGCCTCGCAGTAGCCTGCTGCCAGCAGTAGAGTGACCCCTGTCCGTGAGCCACGAGAAAATAGAAGTCGCTTCATGAAAGGAACTCCACTTTACCACTTGAAAGTTCTACCTGGTAGGACTCTTTCTATGTTGGGCTATTTCAAAGCACTTTCCAAAGCATGTTACTAATTTATCAATTACTTTCTTGTTTTCTTCTTTGACCATCTCAACAATGCTATGCAATATGCAGATATTATTCCCACTTTATAAATGAGGAAACTGGGCCTTTGAAAAGGGAAGTGAATTTCTCAAAAACTCAACTGTTTAAAATGACCTGATACAAACCCAGATTTTGACTGAATTATTCCCATTTCATCATGATCAAGACACACACTACCAAATGGTCTCCCATCCAAAAATATTCCAGGTGGGTGACCCTTTTCCAACAAGCTACGGAAATAGCCAAATTGAACCTACTTAGAACATCCTTGGAATAAATCGTGCTCATAAGGCCCTGGGGCTTTGCCTTCTTTGCCCAATCAGTTGGAACCCAGGAGGGGACCGCTACAACTGGTTACAAATCTGAGGCGTCAGCTATACATAGCAGGGCTGGGCTCTGGTCCATGCTGGCCTCTGGGGAGAGCCGGCCCCAGCTGAGGATATGGGCTATCATCACTACCATTTAAAAACAACACACATACCAAAAAACCAAAAACTTTATTTACAGTTGGAAACAAACAGAAAATTTCGGGATCTGAATCTGTGATACTTCCAAGGACTCTTGATCAAAAAGGCAGCAGCAGGCAGGGAAGCAAACACAGGGGCCAATCCAGATTATCTTAAGACATCACCCAGAACAAGGGAAAGCCTATAATGGCAGAGACATGGATATCAGTGAGGGATGGAGAAGCAGCTCAGGGGAACCCAGACATTCCAGGAGAAACCATGCTCCCAGCTATCCTCCACATTTCTAATCCTCTTTTCCCAAGAGAAGAACCAGTCTGATTTTTGCCATTGGTCAAACTTCTGGTTCCCCAAACTTGAGATAAATTACACAAGAACCAAGAAAAAATAAACTAACATTTTATAGGCAAGCATACTATCTCATTTATTATTTACAATTCACCACTCTTGTGCAGTATGTATTGTCTGTAATTAATCAAGGAGAAAACTAGGGTCCCAAGAGGCTTACTGTCTTGACAGTGATGGGACTTCCTGGTCTACTTGGCTCCAAAGCCTGACTCCTTTTGGCGAGACCTTAATGGCTTCCTGTGGAGTTCTAGAACAAAGAGCAATCCTTCTTCCTTGTACATTTTGGTCTCAGGTTTATAGAGAAAGGAAAGCCCACACCCTCTGTTTATGGCCTTGGAGTTAGCTGTATTGAAAGAGCAGGGTGCATATACTCAGATACTACTGTCCCCCTCCCCTTAACGTGACCACACCCCTTCTTCAAAGGACTTGAGTCCTGGTGTCATATTGCAGGTTCAGACAGATGTTTACTCTGGGCCCTTAAACAGAATGTATGAAAACGTGTAAATGTACTTTCTGAATTACAGGCACATAGTCAGCACGGTCCCTGCCTCCAGGGGGTCCTGCCTCCGTCTAGAAAAAGCCAGACGAACACATTTGTGATAGACTGTGTTAAATGTTTAATAGAGGGACACCAAGCACTTTGGGAGCACCTAGGAAGGGAACGCTGAATTTGCTTAGACCAGGAAGAGGAGAAGCAAGATGCTCCTGGGAGGATCTGGGACGAACTAGGTTTAGCTAAAACTACATATATACAGTATGCACACCCACTCTAAGATACTGACTCAACGTAGAAAATTCAAGCACATGTAGGACAGTATAAACTGCAAAAAAGTCTCTTTGCTGTGTCTATTCCATGAAGGTAACTGTTAGTAACAGTTGGCTATACTATCACTACAGGAATTCCTAAAATAGTTATTCAAAATAAATGGCATCAGGCATCTGGACTTTCACTTAATTTAACTTTGAGATCTTAGACCTATCTCTCTCAAAGACCAATAGTATAAAGTTCCTCACTGTGTGTGAGACCTGATTGCAAGTTGGTAGCTTTGCCTTTGCACTGGGTTGGACTGGAACAGAGCCAGACATTATCCCCTTCTACCTCTTTTTACTGGGCAGGGTTTCTGACTATCAGGGCGGGGAACAGTGTCACACACCCAGCAGGCACACAGATATTTGCGTCAAATCTCTAGAGCTCTCTAGACCCATATTTTCATGTAGAGTCTCTTTTCTCTTGCCTGGACTGCTACAGCGGACATGCTTTCCTCACTGGCCTCCGGCTCATCATCCACAGTGCTGCCAGAATCACCTTCTGAATAAGAAAATTCAATCCCAGTATTCTGCTCAAAATCCTCCAGTGCCTCGTACCGGCCTGGTTCTTTCTGGAGGGTCTGATCCCCTTTTGAGACTCTCAGGAACAAAATGGACTCTCTCTGAAAAAAAAAAAAAAAAGTACAACTGCCTGAAGCTCACCCCCACCCTCAGGATAACATGAGTTCCTCAGTCTGCACTGGTTCCCGCAACTGGCCCTGGCATCCTCCAGTCTCATCTCTTACTATTTGCTTTTCAATATGGCCTGCTTTGGCCATATTGAATTACTGGCAGTTTCCCTTACACTTTCTGTGGTTTCTTGTTTTTATGCCTTTGCTCATGCTGTTCCCTTTGCCTGGAAAGCCCTCCCCAGCATCAGCTATCTGACAAGTCTATTCTCTTGAGTACTCAGCTGAAGTATCATCTCTCTCTCTTTTTTTAGAAGATTTATTTACTTATGTATATAAGAACTGGGGTATAAGCCAGAGGTGTGGGTGGTGAGAGGATTCACCAGAGAGAGTGGGGAGCAGAACAGGCAGATCTACTGAAATACACTGCTGAGGGCAGCAGGGGAGGCAGGAGAGGTCTGTTGCGCCATGTGGGTTGCTCCCTGGCCAGCCAGGGATCGAACTCATGCTGCAGTGGCTGGCGATGGCTTCATAGCGCTGTCTTTAACCCCTGCGCCACCAGGAAGGCCCTGAAGCATCATCTCTTATGCAGCTCTCCCAACCACTTCCCCAGGCACAGGGATTCTTAGCTTGTCCTAAAACATCCAGCCTAATACATTATGCCAGTGTAATTGTGTCTTCTAGACACCATGAGTTCCTTGAATACAGGTACTTTTCAAATTTGTAACCTCATAGTAGCAGGGCTCCCTCTTAATTAATTAGCGCTTAGGTGTAGGATGACTGAAGGACCAGCTCACGTGCTACCAGGTCTCTCATAATCTTCCTCTATAGAGATGTCTCAAATCTGCAGGTAATCCCAGAGAGGGGATAGTGTTTGTTAAACCTCAGTCATTTGAATAGCATCTTCACAGCTATTACCCTAACACCCACAGGTATAATTAGTTTCTTAACCTAATTATTGAAATTCAATAATGCCTCATTGTAAGCTATAATAAGTGTGAAAGTGTGTTGTGCTAATTATATATTTTCTCCTAAGATGCAAATATTAAAATAAAAGATATTCATCACAGTACCACCTAAAGCTGTGTTGCCCACATTTTTTCTGATAAGAACCATCTGAGATGCTTGTTACAAGCACAGCACCCTCGGTCCTATCTTAAACTCACTCAGTCAATCTCCAGAGGAGGAATCTGAGAATTAGTAAGGTTAATAAATGCTCCCAAGTGATTCTTATCTTTAGGGGAATTTGGTAAACTATGGCTTAAAGAAAGTTCTCCACTGCCTGATACTGATACCGGGTATGGGGATCACAGGGAGGAGAGCAGCAATTCAAACTGGCCAAGTTCATCCCCCTGACTTTTCCAAGAGATCCTCAGGCCTTCAAACAGAGGTTCCACCAGCAAAGAACCCTGTTCAGACTATGACAGGAGAATCTTGAAGGCCAAGGTTTGCCTATGTAAACCTAATTAAATTCACCATAGAAAGCTTTCACACAACTCTCTGAGATAAAACCAAAGTTTCTACATCTAGAGCTACACAGAAAACTTCATTTTCATTAAAACCAAAATCAGGACTTAAGACAAAAATACAAGAATTCTGGAAGGAAATGCTTCATTCATATGGAGGTATAGTTGATGAAGTGGCCCCACTAATCTTCTACCTCCTTCCTGTCTAATTATATTTCCAGTGCTTGGGCACAGGCCCCAAATGCATCATGAGGTAATATCTTCAATGATTGCAGCAGATTCCTGCTCGACTAGTGTCCACCAAGAGTTTATCTCCTCCTGGATCTTTTTGGATTGGGCTATGGCAGGTTATCAATTAGAAGACATTTTCTGTTGTTCCCCTGTAGCCTTGCTATTCAAAGTGAACATTAGCATTACTTGGAGAGTTGGTTAGAAATGCAAAATCTCAGGTCTCATCCAGACCCACTGATTTTAAAAGATCTCCTGGTGATTCAAATGCATATTAAAATTTGAGAACTGGGCCTCCCCTGATGGCACAGGCGGTTGAGCGCCAGCTGTGAAGTTGTCCTCAGCCTCTGCAGCACGGGTTTGATCCCGGCTGGCCGGTGAGGGTCCCACATGGCACAGCAGACTTCTCCTGTCATGCCCGCTGCTCCCCTCAGCAGTGTATTTCATCAGTCTGCCTGTTCTGTTCCCCTCTCTGTCTCTGGTGAATCCTCTCACCCTCCTGTGCATCTGGCCTGTACCCCGGTTCTTGCATAAATAAATAAATAAATAAATAAATAAGATTTTGAGAACTACTATAGAATAGGGCTTGAAAACATCATCTATAGTGGCCGTCAACCATATTCTGCCCCAAACACTAGCGGGATCTGAAACACTTCTATATGAATTTGTGATGCTTATAACTTTATAGCTGGGAAGAAAGATCACTGAATGATGCCCTGCTCTTAGGGAATTAATCTCTTCTATTTCTTATTTTTTCTCAAATCACATTACTCAGAAACCCAAAGTGGAGCACCCACCTGTGGAATTCCTTCAGGTCAGATTGCCACCTAGATTCCCTAACACATATGATAGGGACTTTTGGTAGTTAAATGAGATTAAAGTACTTAGCTCAATAGCCAAGCACAAAAAAGTGTTTAATAAACCATAACAGCCCCTACATATATTTTTTTTTTCATATTATCCCTAAGTGTTAACTAAAAGAGATTCAATTCTGAGACCGAACTGAAGGTACCATATGTGGCTCTTAAATTTAATTAAAATTGAGCTCTTCCCATAAGCTGCCTTTGGTGAGCTCTAAAAATTGCTTGACCCAGAAAACCCTACAGAGTCATGCAAACCAAGGGATTCAAATCTTCATGATCATTTTATGAACTCTTGTGAAACTGTCCAGGCTATCAAGAGTACAAATATCGGAAGTATTTGAAGGCTGTTGCTACCAAAGCGGTGCATGCCATCCCATTGTTACAGTGGTGGAGTTGGTAGGTGTGCCCAGGCCAAACAGGGGGGCTGGAGGCAGATACAGGAGGTGGCAGAGTGCTGAATTTTTACTGCTTAAAGCAAAGAGTAATGCTGAACTTAAGGGTTTAGATGTAGATTCTCTGGTCATTGAGCGCACAGAGGTGAACAAAGCCCCCCAGATGCGAGGTATAACTTAAGAGCTAGTGGTCGGATACACCCACACATGAGCTCTCCGTCCTACATGGAGAGGATCTTTATTGAAAAAGAGCAGATGTTCCTAAATCAGAAGAGGCAGCTGCACAGAAGAAAAGGCTATCCCAGAAGAAACTGAAGAAAGAAAAACCTATGGCCCAGGAATAAGTTCAACATAAAATGAATGGAAATACTAATAAAAAAAAAATTTTAAATTCAGTCCTTTAGTCACACCATCTACATTTCAAGTGGTCAACTGCCACATGTGGCTGGAAGCTACCACAGGTACACATTTCCTGCATCACAGAAAGAACTGTCTATGGAACAATTCTCGTTCAGAGGCCTCTGGAATGTCAAATGACCCCTGTGGAATTTGTTCTGCTTTGGTTGCAGATTTAAAAGAGGGACTTTCGTGGGGACAAAGGTTTACATGACCTTTACTAATTGAGGGTGAGAAGGGGAGGGGTTGATGATCGCCACCCTTGAAAATCAAACTCCCGGGGCCTCCCTGGTGGCGCAGCGGTTGAGCGCTGGGTTGCGAAGCTGCCCGCGGCCTCTGCGGCGCCGGTTCGATCCCCGGCTACTCCCCGGCCACCGGAGGAGGGTCCCACATGGCGCGCAGACCTCTCCTGCCGCCCACTGCTCCCCTCAGCAGTGTACTTCGTTCGGTCCTTCTGCCTGCTCTGCTCCCTGCTCTGGCTCTGGTGAATTCTCTCACCCTCCCGCCCTTCTGACTGTACCCAGTGCATGTATAAACAAAACAAACAAACAAATAAATAAATAAAGCACGCCTCTATAAAAAATAAATAAATTAATTAAAAAAAAAAAGAAAAAAAAAAGAAAATCAAACTCCCAGCAAGGATTTCCAATAACTTTCTGAAAGGAACTCAGAAAAATACCAAAAAGCAGCCCCAAATATAAAGAATTTTAAAACCTTACTCTTTTTATCTTTTTTCCTGCAGTGGTCAGTCGTTAGAAGGGAAAGAACGTATGAGTTCAATTCTTTTTCAGTAACAAAATGAGTGGGAAAGGGAGGTGATGTCAAGCAGTACTGAAAGGGACGCACAGAAGAAGCCCTAGGGGTGCTGAGCATTAGCAAAGAGGAAAGTTCAGGGTGTCAAGTGGGCCCAAGGGACCACGTGGCTGGACAGGAGAGGCTTATGTACAGCTTCCAGCACACACTTGTGCATTCCTGCCTCAGCATTTGCTCACACCAGTTCCCTGCCTAAAATGCCTGACATTCTCCCTTACTATTAACTTAAAACATTTTACCGGATGCCTGTAATTGCCATATGCTGTGAACACAAAGTCAGTCACAGATAGAGGTGTGGACAGTCATTAAGATGGTCTGTTTGGCTAGACCTCCACTTGGGAAAAAAGGCAGAAAAACAAATTCTGGATGATTATCAGTACACAAATAAAACTATACAAATATTAGAAAAAGATACAGAAAATAATATGATCTGGGGTAGTGCAGACTTCTTAAAGAAGACAAAATGCAAAAGGTGTAAGGGAAAAGACTGATGATTTTGACTTCCTCAAAGTCCAGGTTTCAACTTGTTAAAGAAATTAAATTTGTTAATATCTTGTTTAACAAAGGATATCACCTAAGTTAGGATAAACAATACTTGACAATTTTTTAAAATATGTTCTGAACAACACTATAAAGACCATACACAACACGCCCACAGCTAACATGGTACACAATGGTAAACACTGAAAACTTTTCCTCTAAGATCAGATACAGGACAAGGATGCCCACTCTCACCACCGCTACTCAACGGAGTATTGAAAATCCCCTCTACAGCAATTAGGCCAAGAGGAGAAAATAAAAGGAATCCAGCTTGGAAAGGAAAAAGTAAAACTCACTATTTTCAGATGACATGATAACAAACATAAAAAAAATCCTAAAGACTGCACTAAAAAATCAATTAGAGATAATCCGCTACCAAAAGGGGAGGGTGGAAGCTATGGGGGGGGGTGCAGTGGTGCTATGGTGGGAGATTATTAGGGCCTTCCTGGCAGGTGTGGTGTGGTAACATATATTTGCAGAGGTGTGAACTGATACCCTTAAAACATATACAGTGTTGTAATCTAGCATTACTGCAATAAATGTAATTAAAAAAATGTTCTGGGGAAAACAGTGATCATCATACAAAATAAAGAATGAAGACTCATGCTGTTTATTCAAACCACCAAGAGAAAGGCAAAATACACTATATGCTACAAACATCTTATAGATTATTGTATCAGTTTTGCTTTTAGTTTTTGTGGGGTTTTTTGCATAGAAGAACTGGGGTGTAGGCCAGAGGTGCGGGGGGTGAGAGGATTCACCAGAGACAGAGTGGGGAGCAAAACAGACCAATTGACTGAAATACACTGCTGAGGGGAGCAGCAGGCAAGGCAGGAGTGGTCTGCTGCGCCACGTGGGTTAGCTTGCTGGCTGGGGATCCAACTCAGGCCACACTGGTGATAGAACTGAGACTCAATCCAGGCCACCAGGGAGGCCCCAGTTTTGCTTCTAGTATAAGGTAGTTTTATATAAATGTAGAAGGAAGTCTTCAAAATACAATGCCAAGTTATGAGAACTATAATGTGATGCCATTTAGGAAAAACAGAAAGTCTCTCAAAACTAAATAGGCAAAGAAAGACCCTGAGAAATACCTCAAACTGATAAAGGGGTATCTGAGAGGAGTAGAATTGGAGGTGGGGGGGAATAGGTAGGATTTTCATTTTAACAGTTTTATGTAAAAATTTTACAGATTAGGGGCCTCCCAGGTGGCAGAAGGGGTTAAGCACCCCACTATGAAGCAATATGCAGCCTCTGCAGCACGAGTTGGATCCCCGGCCGGACAGGGAGGAACACCCACATGGCGCAGCAGACCTCTCCTATCTTGCCTGCTGCTCCCCTCAGCAGTGTATTTCAGTTAATCTGCCTGTTCTGCTCCCTACTCTGTCTCTGGTGAATCCTCTCACCCCGTGCATCTCTGGCCTGTAGCCCAGCTCTTGTATGCATAAATAAATAAATCTTAAAAAAATTTTTTTACAGATTATATTACTTTTATAATTAAATATGAACAACCAAATGAAGAATGTAAACCATGACTGGAACATTTTTTTGACAGACATAAAAGTTACTTTGTAGACAACTGGGGAAATCTGAATATGTATATTTGATATTATCATTGTGGTTATTCTTAGGAGTTGTTTGCTGAAATATTTTGGGTAAAGTACCAAGAAGTCTTCAGCTTTCAAATGGGAAAGAAGGAAGAAAAAGAAAGGAAGGCGGGTGGGGAGGGAGAGAGGGGAGTAGGAGTAAAGAGAGGGAATACAAATGGGAGAAGAGGAAAGAAGGGAAAGAAAAAGGAAATGTCAAATCCAAATGATAAGTGTTAATCGATGGTGAATGTAGGTGAATTGTAGTACACTGTAGTACACTGTGATACAATTAGTGCATTGAAGGTGGGTGTTCAATGTAATATTCTTCTAACTTGGAGGGAAGGAAGGCAGGATGGACAGAAGGATGGCAAAACACCACCGCCACTCCTTTGTACTCTTATAAGACTTAGTAATGTCATTCCTTTTACTAGTGATCACCTCTGAGAATGTTTTTATCTTTTCCCAAAAGTTCCTGAAAGGTATAGGGAATCTTTCAATTCTTTGTCCCCATCCCCTCCCATACCTAACAAGATGTCCAGCACAAAGCAAGCAGTATGGGTAGAAAGTGACCATATGTAGGCTGAGAAAGGTGTCACATTCACCTGTGGGGCTGGCAGATACAAAACCAGGGCTTGAAATTGCCACATTGGTTCTAATGAGAAGGGCCAGGGTGTCTCCTGCTGCCTCAGGCTGGTCACAGGAGGGAGCCACCCAGGCCTGGAGTCAGGTCTTTCCAGTGGACTACTCAACATACCACAGTCTAAGAGTGCTGTCAGAAACTGCCTAATGGTTTTCAGGGTGATACTTTGTAAACTACAAAGTAGTAGAAGAGTAGAGTTCCCTAAGTAAACCTTTCTGTTTTGATCCTTACAAGGATCCTAGGAGACAGGTATTTGACAGATGAAAGAGGCTCAGTCTCCAATGTCAGATGCCAACGTACCTGTTTCAGTCTTGCTCTGGACTACATCTCTCCACACTGTGAGATCACCACAGGCAGCTTAGGCTTATTGTTGGGGCCCGTAGGAACATTCTAGGAGAGAAGGCACAGTGGAGACTCATTCAAAGACACTCATGTACTTACTCCCGCCGGCCCTTTGCTAAAGACTACGGACTCAGAGACTTCTATGATAATGGTCTGCCCTAGCAAAAAGGTAAAGCATACAATGCAGATCAAAGAGAAAATGTACAAGTAAGCAATATCAAATCTATGATATGTAACAATGTAAAAAGTTATAAGACAGTGTGCAGGGCAGAGGAAGCAATTCAACTGCTGTTTAGAGGTTAGGGAGGGATCTATAGCAGAAGGGAGTTTGAGCTAGTAATAGAAGGATGAGTGAGAGCCCATCAGGAGGAAAAGAAAGGAAAAAGAGGAAAAGGAGGAAAGAGCATGAGCAAAGAAAGGCTCAGAGGTAGGAGGAAGGCAGAAGCAGGGACATATATGGCATATTTAGAGAAGAGACAGTAACCTGATATGACAGGAACACAGAGGAAGCAGTGGCAGGGACCAGATCACATAGGATCCTGAAAGCAATGCTGAATCGGATTTTATCAAGTAGGAAAAGGACAACAGAAATCAACCTTGGTGTGCTAGAGAGGTTGCTTATGGGCCAAGAAAACATGGGAGGCATGAGGACTCTCCTCTCTTTTCATGTCACTAGAGGCAATAAAGACTGGGCCGAACTCACCATTTTCTAGCTGACAACAGTTAGGTAGTACTAGACCAGAATGGCAACAGAACGGACTCACCTCAATCTTTCTCATAACCAGAAGTCCATCGATGATTTTTCCTGTAGAAAGCATATGTGCTGGATTTTACTATGCTCACTTGCATAACATGTTCTAGTTTCCACTGTCCATCCATTGCCATTAGTTCATTTGAACCTCATACTAACATAAGTGGAGGTCACAGGCAGTTACAAAGTTAGGGTTCAAACCTAGGTTGGGAGATTGCAAAGTACCATAGTACCATGCTGCCTGTGGGAGGCATTTCTTAAGTGTTTCTGTCTGGGTGTTCCCCTCAAACATATCACCCAAGTAGTTGCGCTGCTCTAGACGGTGTCTCCCCACTGTGAGGTCAGTGGCCCCTGCCATCATTTCCTCTAGTTCCTGAACACCACTTCCACCCTCCCCACCACTGCCCAGTGCAGTACACAAGCCCAGCATTCTTGGTATGGGACTCTGGCTCTTCTGAAGTCCCATGGGGTAAATGGAGCCTGGACTATGGGACAGAGTAGGACTCACCAAACACTACATGTTTCCCATCTAGCCAATCACACTTGGAACAGGTGATGAAGAACTGGCAGCCATTTGTACTGGGACCACTGTTTGCCTGGTGGAAAACAAATATACCTTCAGTGAGTTCTCCTAGCCGGAGGGCAAGATTCCTGAAAGACTCTCCAAATTTTCTACCAGCGAACTTGACTGAACATCTACTGAGCCAGGGCCTAAGCTAGGCCTGAAGGACATAGATAAAGAAGACACATAATCTCTGCCTTCAAGGAACCAGATCCTTGAATAAATGTACATTTCCCCTACAGTATGAATTTTTATAATTGAAATAACTGTTTATGGGACCTGATTTGCTGTTTGGTCCAATACTAGTTATAGCTGGGTTATAGTTAGTTACCAGGGGAGAAAAGGTCTGTTGCCTATACCAAAAGCTGTTTTGTCTGAATGGCTTTGTACTGTATCATAACAATGGCAATAACAAATTTTTAAGAAAAAATAGTTGGAACTTGAAGTGATTGTATTAAGTGAAATAAATCAGATGGTTTCACACATATGTGGAATATAAATAACCAAAAAGCATAAACTGACAAGACACAGCAAAGACAAATCTTGGACTTAGTGAAAAAATTTACAGGTTACCAGAGGAAAGTAGGTGGGGAGGGGGAAAAGGATGGGGAGGGAAGTAGAAAGGGTCTGCATGGTGGGTCAGTGGCTACTGAATGGAACATGTACACATGTGCAGGAATAAAAACGTATCCTTAAGTTAAAGTACTAATTTTTTTTAAATTTAAGAATTTACAAGAAAAAAGGTTATATTTAATCAATGGTGTTTGGTTTCAACAGCTACATCTCAAATCCTTTATTACTGAATTTTGCAGGAAAAATTATTTCCAATTGAGTATCTGAAAATATAGTTATATCCCTTCTTTCCCTCCTTTGAAATTATTTTTACATCATTACACTTAATAATGCATTATAATAGAACAAGCTATGATAACAATGCAGAAGATATAGAGAGACATTTGACTTTCTTAGGAAGTCTACTTCTGTTCATTAAACATTGACATTCCCAAACTGCCTTTAATATGCTAAATCCAGATTTTTTGTCTATTAACCAACCCAAAGTTTTAGCAGCACAGCCAACAGTGTTTGTGTATAATGTATTGTGGATAATGCATTGTATACTTTCCTTATTTTCGGGAAAAAAATGAGTAGAAAACAAAAGCACAGGTCTCATAAAATTAATCTACTGAAGCAAAACCAGAAACTATCACCACTAGCCTTAATCAGTAGTGTATCATAACAATGATGTGTATCATGTGTATCATGTTCAATTCAGATTACCACTAGCCTTAATCGGTAGATTTAAATTGGTTGCTTCTGCGTCCAATAGTGAAGGAATAAAAATAAAAATGTATGAGATACATTATTGATGCTGTCTAGGGTGAGCTCATTAGGTTTTATACTTTAGAAATCCCTAGTGTAAGATGAGACTATTTTAGTTTTGTACATGTACTCAGGAACATTTCATATGTGAAAATAAGGGACTGCCTGAGCCAAAGCAGGCCTTTGCCTACTTCCAAAGTAACATCAGGAAGCCCAACTTTGGAAGGACAAATAGAGTTCTCAGGATCCCAATGCATCCCTTCTACCCATCTAATCTATCTAGCTGCTCAATGTATGCTCAATGCAGAAGAGGGTAATTAGCAAGAAAGCAGGAAATTAGTTCTACACCATGTTTCTCTACTAGTTTACTGGTTACGAGAATACACTCTGGAGCCAGACAGCTTTCTAGTACTGCTACAGGACAACTTTAATAGCTCTGCCATCGATACTACATAGGCCTTGGTTTAGTCACATAACCTCTCTGTGCCTCAGTTTTGTGTCATCTGTACCTCAGTCTCCTCATGTGTACCTATCTTAGTTTTTTTTTTTTTTTATTATTTTTTTTTTTTAATAGAGGCATGTTTTCTTTCTTTCTTTCTTTCTTTCTTTCCTTCTTTCCTTCTTTCCTTCTCCTTCTTTCCTTCCTTCCTTCCTTCCTTCTTCCTTCCTTCCTTCCTTCTTCCTTCCTTCTTTTCCTTCCTCCTTCCTTCCTTCTTTCCTTCCTTCCTCCTTCCTTCCTTCCTTCCTTCCTTCCCCTTCCTTCCTTCCTTCCTTCCTTCCTTCCTTCCTTCCTTCCTTCTTCCTTCCTTCCTTTCTTCTTTCCTTCTTTCTTCCTTCCTTCCTTCCTTTCCTTTTCTTTCCTTTTTCTTCCTTCCTTCCTTCCTTCCTTCCTTCTTCCTTTTCCTTCCTTCTCTTCCTTTCCTCCTTCCTTTCTTTCTTTCTTTCTTTCTTTCTTTCTTTCTTTCTTTCTTTCTTTCTTTCTTTCTTTCTTTCTTTCTTTCTTTCTTTGTTTATACATGCACTGGGTACAGTCAGAAGCGCGGGAGGGCGAGAGAATTCACCAGAGCCAGAGTGGGGAGCAGAGCAGGCAGAAGGACCGAAGTACACTACTGAGGGGAGCAGCAGGCGGCAGGAGAGGTCTGCGCACCATGCGGGACCCTCCTCCGGTGGCCGGGAAGCAGCCGGGGATCGAACCGGCGCCGCAGAGGCCACGGGCAGCTTCGCAACCCAGCGCTCAACCGCTGCGCCACCGGGGAGGCCCATGTGTACCTATCTTAAAGGTTGTTAAGATATTAAAGTGAATGAACACAAATAAGGTGCTTGCTGAGTAAATGCTCAATAAATATTACCCATTATTCTGATTATCTTTTATTCACTCAGCAACATCCGCCCAGTACTTTTCTGTGTTAGGTAGTAAGATCTGGAGATCAATGAAACCTACTCCCTGCCTTTGAGGAATTTATGACTTAGTGGAGGATAAGAACAAAAACAATTAAGTTACCAGGAATGGGACAGCACAACCTAACCAATGTCAGTCTGAGGGGAACAGACACTCTGAGGCTACCTTCCATTTTTTTTAGCTCTTTCTTAAATGCTAGCATAGTGGTATGTACCTAGAAGGGTTCTGATACTAATGGTAACGATTCTAGAAACCACATCTGCATCCCTTAACTGCACTTCCCCAAGCTGGCTTGTACCTTTTTTGCCTTGCTAGTATTACCCAATTAAGTCTTCTTCCTGGCTTTGCCCAAGTAAGCATGGTAGAGGTGAGTGCTAGGCCAAGCACTGCATCCATCCCAAGAAACAGCACTGGCCCTCAAGAGGCGCCCAGGCATCAGCTGGCTATAAATCTAACCCCAAACTGCGACTGAGTTCTCACTTACCATGGAAAGAAGGCCTGGAGCTGAGTGTCTGAGTTTAAAATTTTCATCTGCAAATGGCCCCCGGTAAATACTGGCAACTCCGGTACCATCTCCCTAAGTAAAAAGAAGAGTGTGAGCAAGTACTGGGTGCCCTGAACCCTGGAGAAAAAGAACATGTTTAGACACAGGCAAAATAAGGAACAACAGTACAATGACCTCATATATTATCCTTGCCATACGAAGACTCTGAAGCCGGCAAATTATATACAAGCACCCACTTAACTAACAACTGCCCACTCTCCCCACGCTATGAGTATGAGTGGTTCTTAGGTATCACCCTCCTGGACAAAGCTGTCCAGGGGAGGACAAGTAGTTCACGAAGAGCAAACTAGAATTCCTTCTCTGGTGATTGTGAAGAGGGTTAGATACTCTCTGAAGATGAACTTGTATTGACTAAACCTGGAAGCTGGAGGTAACTATCTTTTGCAAGGCAGACTGGAGGACAGAAAGAGAACACGGGTGTGTAGCGAGCTCTACAGAAACACAGAAAGGACGGCACTGGTTCTATGCACCTTTTCGGTTGTTCTACTTCTTCCTTTGGGTTCCACAAAATACCCTATCTTAAATTCCCAAATTTGGCTTAACCTAGCTTTATTTGCATTATCTTTTTGCTCTTCCAACATTCCTGTGGAATGAGCATTATTATCTTCCTCATTTTTCACATGAGCTTAATTAAGTCAGGGTAATAAAGCAACTTGACCAATGTCATATTTGCAGTATTTCAAATAGAGACCCTGAGGTGTAAGGATAATCTTTAGAGGGGGGCCAAAGGATCACTCTCTCCCAGTCAGATTAAAAAAAAAATACTGGGTGCATGGTAGAAAAGGAAACACAGACCTGGTACAGAATCAAGACTGGGGTAAAAACTACCAAAGGGGATCAATATGAGAATAAAGGCAGGCCTCTCTGGTGGCGCAATGGGTTGAGCACAGAGCTGTGAAGCTGTCCGCAGCCTCTGCAGCACGGGTTCAATTCCCAGCCGGCCAGGAGATTCCTACATGGCGCGGCAGACCTCTCCTGTTGCGCCCGCTGCTCCCCTCAGCAGTGCTTTCGGCCCGTCTGCCTGTTCTTCTCCCCACTCTGTCACTGGTGAATCTTCTTACCCTCCCGCATCTCTGGCCTGTACCCCAACTATTGTATAAATAAAAAAATCTTTAAAAAAATTTTAAAAAAGCACTTTATAATCAATATAGCATGACATAAATGTGAGCTATTATATCTTTAAGTCCACCTACAAAAATGCAGGAGGAAGAGCAAACAAGTTCATTTCTAGTAAACCTAGGGAACAGATCAGTTACCACATCATTCTCAATACTAACACTATCTATAGCACTCCAGAAGCCAGAGTAGGGAAATGACAAACTTAATTATTCAGAACAAACAAAAGAAAGCAACTTAAATCTTTAACAATTTAGCTGATCAAATAAATTAATTGCCTATTCATAATGAAATTTGGACTGGGTAGCTATTAGAGCATGTTTCATTAGAAACCTTAATGCCAGGGAAAATGTAGACAATGATTAAGGACAAAAAATATTTTGGAATCTTAAGTCTATTAAAAATTTTATGTACATACATATATAAGGAAAGATAAAACTGATAGGTGTAAACTAAAGTGCTAATAGTACATTCTATTAGAGGTGAGATTTTTTTTTTTAAAAAGGTGATTTTGGGGGCCTCCCTGGTGGCTCAAGGGGTTAAGTCTCAGCACAATGAAGCTATGGTCAGCCGCTACAGCAGGAGTTTGATCCCCAGCCAGGGAGCTAACCCACATGGTGCAGCAGACTTCTCCTGTCTTGCCCGCTGCTCCCCTCAGCAATGACATCCCCATTTCCATCTCCTCCCCACTTCAAACTTGCTGTTGTTCTCAAATCATAAGACTGGGTCCTTATAATAAAATAACAGAAGCAGCAATAACAAGGAAAAACAAATGTATAGGTCTTTGATAGGAAAGAACAGTACTTACGTTAACAAAATCTCCACCCTGAATCATGAAATCCTTTATGACTCTGAAACAGAGAACAAAAAATACTGAGAGATGATTCCGTGGTTTGGTGAAACACTGACTAGTTAACACTGGATTAACATTGGAGTTAACACTGATTTCAAAATACATTAATCACTTTGGCATTTAATGAACCTTCAAATCAACTGTTGAGCTCAGAAAAATATTCTCAAAATCTAAGAATTACCCGATGGTTTTATTTTCCTTCACAGAAGCAATTCTCCCAAGGAAGTGATTGTAAAAGACCAAGAATAGCTTGCCAAAAGCCTTACCTGTGGAAGGTGCTCCCTTTGTATCCTATTGGAACCCCATCTTTTCTGTAACCAAAAACAAAGAGACTTGGAATGACGACAGGTAATCACAGGCCTTTCCACTTTACCACACACCAGAGCCAAAGGGACGCTCCTAAAGATGGTCTAAGAAGCGAAATAAAGGTAAATGAACTGAAGATAGACTAGATTGTAGGGGCATTCTCTTCCATTGGTGTCACCAGAAATCATTCAAGGACTGCCAGTGGTTCCCCGACCCCTCACTGCAGCCCCAGGACACCCCTCAGAAGCAAGCAGTGAACTCAACCAAGTCTGAGACTGACCTGAATTCTCCAGTGCAGAACTGCCTGAAAGGGAAAAAGAGTGAAAATTCGGTCACCAAGACATCACAGCTGCGAGCGCCCCTAGCCTCCGAGAGTGGAGCCAGCAAACCTACGAAGCGGGTCAGTCAGATATTCAGACCCAAGGCATACAGATTGTTAACAACATAAAACGACACGAGAACAATTAAAACGGTGACTATTCAGATGGTGCAATAACCAGAGGGATCAGATCTCAAAGTTAGCGAGAGGACGGGCAGGGGCAGGGGCAGGCAGATCCTCAGACTGGGTTAATCTGGCATTGCGCGGGCATCTCCTTACCTAAAGTTCTCGGCCGTCTTGGGCACGACGTCTGCAAAGAGCTCGATCTTCATGCGACCAACCTCCTGCAAGGGTCGGGAGACCGTCAGAAAACCTAGTCTAGGCCATGAAGGCCTCACCAAGCGGAGGAACAAGAATGGCTGACTCTCCCCTCCCTGGTGCCCCTCGGTCTCTCCCACCTCCACAGTTTATACGTCCAGTCCCTCCAGGAGGGAAGCTCGAGGATGCGCAGGGCTCCTCTTCCTCCTCCTCTTCCCTGCCCCCCCATCCCCCGCCCGGCAGGTGGGTTAAGTTCCGGTCCAATTTCACTCTCTGGCGTCCCGAGCCCGTTATCCCCGAGCGGGGGAGTCCTGCTTGCTGGGCTCCGTGCAGTTTCTCGTGGGCGCAGGGCCGGGAGGCTGCCCCAACCTCACCTGGCCGCCAATGCTGACATCAAAGAACACCACGGGGTTGACTGGGCTTGAATTTGCCACCGCCATGGCACCGACCCGGAAGCAGAAGCCGGGAGGGCGGGGTTCCGGTGAGCCTAATCCCAGTTCAACCCGTGTCGTTTCTGGCGCAGGCGCAGAAAGACAAGACCGAGGCCAGCCCGCCCCGAGGCCCCGCCCCTGCCGCGGAGCGCGCCTTGGGACCCGCGCGGAGACTGTGTGTGCGGCCCGGCGTGCGCTTCCTACCGTGTGTCACCGAGGCGACCGCAGGCTGTCAGTTCACTTGCTGTCGCCCGCATGGAGGAGGTAGGGCAGAGGAGGAAAGCCTTGGCATTTGTTGCTGAAGGTCAACTGGCATCCTACTCACATGGTTGCAATAAGTGCAATAAGAAATAATTCTCGCTCGGACTGGGGGTGGAGACTGGGGGAGGGTGGACTGGGCAGTGTCCAGGGTCCTTGTCAGTCTTAGCAGCTAAGAAGTCTGAACTGGGCCTCCCTGTGGTGGCGCAAGGCTTAAGCACCGCACTATGAAGCAGTCCACAGCCTCTGCAGCACAAGTTTTTGATCCTTGGCCGGCCAGAGAGAAACCCACATGGCACAGCAGACCTCTCCTGTCTTGTCAGCTGCTCCCCTCAGCAGTGTATTTCAGTCAGTTTGGCTGTTCTGTTCCCCACTCTGACTCTGGTGTATCCTCTCAGCCCCACCATCTCTGGCCTGTGCCCCAGTTCTTGTATGCATAAATAAATCTTAAAAAAAAAAAAAGTCCAGGGCCTCCCCGGTGGCGCAGCAGTTGAGCGCTGGGTTGCGAAGCTGCCCGCGGCCTCTGCGGCGCCGGTTCGATCCCCGGCTGCTCCCCGGCCACCGGAGGAGGGTCCCACATGGCGTGCAGACCTCTCCTGCCGCCCGCTGCTCCCCTCAGCAGTGTACTTCGGTCCTTCTGCCTGCTCTGCTCCCCGCTCTGGCTCTGGTGAATTCTCTCACCCTCCCGCGCTTCTGACTGTGCCCAGTGCATGTGTAAACAAAACAAACAAACCAGCAAACAAATAAATAAAGCATGCCTCTATTAAAAAAAAAAAAAATATTAAAAAAAAAAAAAAGTCTGAAGTGTACCACGTGCTGTGAGCCTCACCAAGACAGGAACTCTGCTCCTCTTCAGCCCTTAGAGCATATAAGCACCGCTCAGTAAATACAAGTTAGCCCTTCCTTGTAAATCAGGACAATAGAATTTGTTTTAGTGCCGCCACAAGCTTACACTTTTGTCACCCCCAATTCATTCCTCACAGAGCAGCTAGCCCCTTTAAAATAAATCTGCTTCGTGTACTTCGGTCCTTCTGCCTGTTCTGCTCCCTGCTCTAGCTCTGGTGAATTCTCTCACCCTCCCACGCTTCTGACTGTACCCAGTGCCTGTATAAATAAATAAACAAACAAACAAACAAAAAACAACCCCCCCCACACAAAATCTGCTTAGAAATCACTCCAGGCTTTCCATATTTAGGATACAATACAATTCTTTACATAAAAAGGCCCACAGTACATTATCTGTCACCTACCCAACCTTATCTTGTGTCACCCTCAGTTACTGTCCTTACCTTTCTGTTCCTAGAGTTCAGGAGATGCATCTGTCTTCAGGCCCTGGTACTAGCTATTAACAGTCTTTAATGCTCTTCCAGATGTCAACCCAGGAGGAGAGTGCTTCTGAACAGATTTAATGAACTGAATGAAAATGGGTGACTTTGGGTAAGACTTGGAGTCAGAGATTGTATTAAATACCACATTTCAGATATCCTTGAATAATCCTTTCAAAGTTCAGTGGTCTGAGGAAGCAAGAATTACACCTAAAAGTTTAGTTGCTTGATAAAGGTGTCTTTTAAAATTTCTGCTTTCCCTTCTCTCTTAATCTCCCTTTTCTATCCCCAACTAAAGTTAAAGAAGGAAGAAGAGGAGAATAAGAAGGAACGGAGAGATTAAGTAGCAGTAGCCCTCAGCCTTCAGGAGCCGTCAGAGTTTTATACCAACTATTTTAGAATAAATTTTTCAAATTACTAATATCCATGATGAAGTTATAGAAAGACTGGCACACTCATCAACTGCTGGTGAAGAAAAAAAAAAAGGATAATCAACATTGTCCTTCATGGAGCAGTTACTAAGGGCCATGCATACTTTCATTCAATTTCGTCCTTACTATCCTGTGCTAATGGAACTCGTTCCCATTTTATGCTTCAAGAAAGAGGCTTAAAGAGCTGGACTAAACCGTATGTTGACACAACCTTTTGTTTTTTTTAAAGTAAAATAACAAGTGATATACTAAAACTATGTAACATTTACGTCCTTTGACCCAATGATAACATTCTTGTTCATTTGTTTTCTGGCAGAACTCGCCAAAAGAGCCACATTCTCCAAGACTTTCTCCAAGTAGAAACAACTTAAATGTCAAACAACAGGAGAATTTACAGAACAATTAACATGACAGAATATAACTTGGTCATTGAATAGTTATAAAGACTATTAAAATATAGGGAAATTAAAAATCAGAGTATGAAAATGAAATTACAACATAATTTTGAAAAACCAGAAGGAATAACTTCAAAATGAAAGTAATTGTGTTAAGAATGTAGGATTATAGAGTTCTTTTTTAAAGCATTTGCTTTAATGTGATTGTATTGTTTTTACTTTAGAAGTAAATAAGAAAATACCCAGGATAATAAAAAAGCTATCCTGAATTAGCCATCTGTGCTCTGCTGAATGGGAAACTTTATTAAATCATTGAACTTATGTTACTATATTAATCAATACACAGCATTTGAGGATAGCAAACAAACTTGAGAAATCCATTTTTAGAACTGGTTGAATTAATTTATCAGCAAGTTTGAAGACTCCAAGTTGATGTCCAGTTGGGGGCTGCAGTAGCTCTTATCCATGTCATGTTCCACCTTCATGCCCAAACTTGAAGTTAGCATCTTTGAGCAGTCTAGTTTTAGATATCAGTGATTTTATAGTTCTGACTTTTGATCTTGTTCTTGGATGCTATGTGTCACTTTCAGTGAAGCCACATTTATATATCCAATTTCAGAATTCTGTGAACATGAACGAGACTTGGGAGAATTGGAGGTGGCCACTACTGCGTCTGACTTATGTTCTCCAATCTCTTGAATATTTGGAACTGACGCTATCAAGTCTATTCCTGTAAAACTAAGAAAGACCACGTGTGAGGACTTTGCGTAAATAGGATCTCTTAGTGGCACTTAGGGTAACAGAGAGATGGCATCGATAGGATTTCAGTTTTTTACAATTATCAAACACAAAGAAAAGACAAAAAATTTACCTTAAACTTATGTTTATGAATTATTTTCTAACTTAAGTCAGGATTCTGTGATGTGTGGAGGTGACACAGCGACAAGGAGAGAAGGAATTGGAAGATGATTTAAATAATATACAGAAAATTACCCCCAAATGTTTTGCTTTCTCAAGCCAGCAGCTCGGGACTACTGAGGCAGGCATGACATGAGGCAATAAATAAATGATTGTCATTACTAACCTGGAGTTTGGTAAATGCAATATTTTACTCAATACTTCAAATTCAGGGATGTCACTAATTACTGTTTCCTGAAAGGAAAGAAAAAATAAACATTAAAAATTATGACAAACTACTAGCACTATGACCTTAGAACTTATACCTTATGTATGTTTGTGGGTTTTTTTTTTTGGTTATAAATGTGATCCCCTCACCTCACACTCGTTAGAATGACTATCATCAAAAAGACAAAAGTTAAGTGAAGTAAATCAGGAGAAAGACAAGCATTGGATGTGGACTATATGTGGACTATAGAGGAACAAAACAAAGGGTGAGACGAAACCAAATCAATAACAAACTGAAGAAATCTGACTGTGGAATTGAGGCTGCAAGGGGCAGAGAGACACACTGGGGAGGGGCATAATGAACTATAGTGGAGGACTGTGGGTACCTTAGTGGTGGGGGTGGTGTGGTGACATGGACCTGAGGTGTGAACCTATGCCTCTGAATGACACAGTGTTGTGAACCAATGTTATCTGAAGTAAAAAAAAAAAAAAAATTTAAATGAGAATTCTGCCTCCAGACTGCAACATAGAAAACAAACAAAGGAGAGAGGAGACAAATGCTGGAAGAATAGGAAGAAAGGGAGCCCTTATATACTATTGGTGGAATGTAAATTGGTGGAATGTAAAACTACCATAGTCTAGCAATCCCATGTCTAGGTATATTCAAAGGAAAGAAAATCACTGTCCCAAAGAGATATCTGTACCCCACATTCATTGCAGTATCATTTATAATAACCGAGACATGGAAGCAAACTAAGTGTCCACCAATGGATGAATGGATAAAGAAATTCTAGTCACACACACAAGCCCCACCCTATGGCATACTATTCATCCATAAAAAGAAGAAAATCCTGCCACCTGTAACAACATGGATAGATCTTAAGGACATTATGCTAAGCGAAATCAGTCAACAAAGACAAATGCTATATGATCTCACCTTTGTGTAGAATCAAAAAAGTAAACACATAAAAACAGATCAGACTTGTGGTTGCCAAATGTTAGGGATGGATGGTGGGGAATTAGGTGAAGGTGGTCAAAGGTACAAACTTCCAGCAATAAGCTAAATAAGTTCTGTGGCAATGAGTGTAAATTATATTGTGGTGCTCATTTTGCAATGTATATATATATATTACAAAATCATTGTGTTGTAACCACCTTAAACTTATACAATGTTATATGTCAGTTTTACCTAATAAAACTGGAAAAATGTAATCCCTAATGCCTTGGTACTATTTGGTAATTATAAACGTCGTATTTTTCATCAGTGCTTTCTTTAGTATCCTGCTATTTATATCTACTTTTCTGTGTGAATTACCTCATTCAGCTGACAGAATCATTCTATTTACTTAGGTAAGTCTTTAATACTCTGACAAACATTTTCTGTCCCTTAATCAGAAAAGTATCTGTTTTGAACTCTCTGATTTTAAAAACCAAATTCCTTTTTAAAAATACATAGACCAACAGAAACCAAAATTCACAGGGGTTCACATACAATTTATTGACTCCCCCGCCGAACTTGGGTTTAACCTTTGATACAGACCAGCAAGTTTTTGTGAGAAACTCTGTCATCCTGGAAGAAATGAGAAGCTTATGTAAGGAGGAAAATGCCAGCCTTTCAGAGAAAGCTATAATGTGTTAGAAACTTGACTGGGAATTTGAAGACAAGACTTGACTCAGTGCTTTATCAGTTCAACACTGGCGTGTCCCTTCACTCGCTGAGCTTTATTTCCCATATTTAAACAGTAAGAATAACAACTAATGCCCTGTTTTTCAGGGGTTTTGTGAACATAGTATCTTACTATTAAATAGATTTTAAATAATAATTAAATAATATAGGGCCTCCCTGGTGGCACAAGAGGTTAAGTCTCAGCACTGTGAAGCTGTCTGCAGCCACTGAGCACAAGTTCGATCCCATGGCCAGGATCCACATGGTGCAGCAGACCTCTTCCGTCTCACCTGCTGCTCCCCTCAGCAGTGTATTTCAGTCAATCTGCCTGTTCTGCTTCCCACTCTGTCTCTGTTGAATACACTCACCCCACTAACACCTCTGGCCTACAACCCAGCTCTTGTATGCATAAATAAATAAATCTTTTAAAAAATTAAATTATATAAACATAACTAATATATAGGAGGAAGCCAACATATGTTCAATATAAGAACAATAAATGTGGTCTCCCTGGTGGCACAAGGGGTTAAGCATTGCACTATGATGTAATCTGCAGCCTCTGCAGCACGAGTTTGATCCCTGGCCAGCAAGAGAGAAACCCACATGGTGAGGCAGACTTCTGTCTTGCCCACTGCTCCCCTCAGCAGTGTATTTCAGTAGATCTGCCTGTTCTGCTCCCCACTCTGTCTCTGGTGGATCCTCTCACTCCCCGCATCTCTGGCCTGTGCCCCAGCTCTTGTGTGCATAAATATATAAATCTTTAAAAAAAAAAAAAGAATAAATGCAGGTCCACTGAGAAACAGGAATTTTCATTTATTGAATACCAACTGTGTGCCAAGCAATACAGCAGGTAATTTATGTGTGCTATTCTGCTAAATCCCCAACACCCATTTTTAGAAAAAATTTTCTCTCCTTCCTTCCTTTCCCTTCCCTTTCTTCTTTCTCCCCTCCTCTCCCCATAACCCCCCTCCTTTCCTCCCTCCCTCCCTTCTGTTATATGATTGTCACTCGCATTTAGGCCTGAGTCCTGTAAGGCAGACACTAACTTGTTCACCATCATACCCAAACCATATGGCAAACAGGATGAGGCCTGGTACAGTGTATATGATCTACAAATATTTGTTGAAGGAACTCTCTGCAGCTCTTTCAGATGAAGTACTATGAAATCAAGCTGTGCTTCATGAAGATTAGTCTGGAGGCATGAAAGGACAGATTAGAAGGGGAAAGACTGAAAGGAGATGGTTAAGAAGTCATTGCAGAGGGCCTCCCCAGTAGCGCAGTGGTTGAGCGCTGGGTTGCGAAGCTGCACGTAGCCTCTGTAGCACCTGTTCGATCCCCTATAGCACCTGTTCGATCCCCGGCTGCTCCCGGGCCACCGGAGGAGGGACCCGCATGGCGCGCAGACCTCTCCTGCCGCCCGCTCCTCCCCTCAGCAGTGTACCTAGTCCTTCTGCCTGCTCCGCTCCCTGCTTTGGCTGTGGTGAATTCTCTCACCCTCCCATGCTGCTGACTGTACCCAGTGCTTGTATAAATAAATAAATAAATCTTAAAAAAAAAAAAAAGTCATTGCAGGCAGTAGCTCTCTTGCCTACCTGTGACTACTTCACTGACCTTCTCCCTTTGCAGAGCAGCAGAGGCAGCTCTCCTCCCAAGGCTGCCCACATGTGACCATGCAGACTCCTCCCTTTTGGGGGGCAACTCTTTAAATATACAAAGAAGGTATTGTAGTAACCTAGGTGCTAAGTGCTTGGGATACTGTGGGTAGGAAGACAGCCATAGCTTCTGTTTTCACAGAAGTTATAATCCAATAGAGGAAAGATGAAATTACAATACAGGAAGCAATATGGTAAATTAGAAGGCTATGGTCCCAGTTACACTAATGCTCCTTAGGGGGAAATGGTAGACCTGAGGTATTATGAGACAGTGGCTCAGAACAAGTGGGTAGAGGCAGTTGGTCACAAATCGTGCTTTTCTGCTTAATAGGTGTGTGACCTTGGGAATGATGTCACTCACTTCTTTTTAGCTGTAACAGTGGAATGACACATGGACTGAGCTGGAAAGGATGATGCTAAGTGAAATAAGCCAGGAGGAAAAAGATAAATACCAGATGGTGTCACCTATATGTAGAATATAGAGAAACCAAACAAAGGTCAAAGACAAACATTAAAACTAACCCTTGAAAGCTGACCATAGATCTGAGGCATCCAGAAGGGAAGGGGGAGGGCAGAGAAGGCAGGGCTAGCACAACAGACTATTATGGAGGACCACGGGTGTTTTGGTGGTGGGAGAGGGTGAGCTACAGTGACCACACCTGAGAGGAGAAATCCTATACTGTGTCAAAGTATTAACAAGGGTGTAAGACAATGGTTCTTAACAAATAAATAAAAACAAAAACAAAATAACAATAGGAATGACAGACACCATATAAGATTATTTTATGGGTTAAATGAAATAATATACGTAAAATGAATAGCATATAACCAGACACATAGTAAGCACTCAACAAATGTCAAACTTTTGCCATTTTGGTCATTGAATTGTAAAGAAGGAAGGTACCTAGGATATGTCTGATCCCAGGGATCTCCATGTTTGCAGGATATGATACTAAGTCACTGAAGATCAAGGGATCTGGGAAAGATCAGTGGTTGTGTGCCCTAGGTCATATCATCTAACCTCTCTGGGTTTTAGTCTCTCTCCTGTATAAATGAGAGGACTGAACTGAAGAATCCTTAAAATTCTAAGATTAAGAACAATTTTGAAATTGTCCCAACCAGTAGGTATCTTTCAAGTTGGTATTTTTATCACAAATGAGGTATTGACTTTGATGTATTATAGTCCTCACCCATGTGACATTTCTTATTTTGATTTGAGAATAATATTGTGGATCTCAAAGCTATTGGTCATAGCATGTACTCCACTAAGGCTTCTAACTCAGCATTTACGAGACTATAGTACTAATTCTGTGTCCTTCTCTGCTGGCTGCAGCCCTCTCAAAATAGGGTCTATCTTTATATTCCTAATACCTACCATAATTCCTGGAATTGATTAAGTATTTGTGGAATGAATAAGTAAAAGACAATTGAAAACAGATGTAGCTCAAGCAAAGACAAACTAATGGAAGTTAGGCCACATAATCTGGCCATTTTGTACTTCAGACAAAATCTGCAAAACAACTCACATAGCATGAAATAATCTCTTTTCTGAGAGCAAACAAGATGCAGATCTTATGCTCACAGCAATGGTACACAGCAAGCAGGATCTACTGAGAAGTATCCTAAAAGAAACATCTAGCAAGTGATACAAGCCAGGGAAGAGGGCAAGCAGTGTCTGTGCTAGATTCAGGGTATAATCCATTCATGAAGTCCCTCTTGACAACTGCTCACCAGCCAGAGTCAGGACCTTGCCTGGGCCTACACTATTTGCCATCTCTCTCTGGGCTTGCCTACTGTCTGCTTAAATTTTTGGAAGAGAATTGCTTTTCTCTGACTCAGATGTTCTCTTAGGTTTGTATCCTTGCCAGAACAGCCTAGCTTTACTATTCCTCTCTGAGTCTCAGATTTGTTCATCTCGCAAATGGAACTAGGGCAGTGCATGGCAAATAGGGTTGTTGAGAATGAGGCATCCACGTGAAAACATTTAACATTCTCTCATTTTCAAATATTTATGGAGCATCTGCCCATAGATACAATGATGTAGGAGATAAAAATCCTTGGCCTCCAAGATCTCACTGATAAATTGCTGAGCTAGAGAAGCAAAAAGACAAAAACAATACAGGGTGTTGAGGAAGACACTATGAGGCATATGCAAATTGCTTTGGGATCACATAGGAGAGTGTTTAATAAAGGTTGGCTCAATGAAGAGCACAGCTGGCTGACAGCAATCTCAGGGTCTGCTGCCTGATGTGTAGCCCTTGAGCCTCTTTGCCACAGTCTAGCATGAGGACAAGTGGATGATGAGGGAAATGAAGGAGCAGCAACCTCAGCAGCCCAGACTTCTGATTAGGGACCAACAGGAAGCACACATCTTACCTCCCCTCTGCGAATCTGGATGTTCCTTATAATGCGCTCTAAGAGGCCAATGTGATGTGTGAGCTGGAGACTGTTTTCTTGTAATAGCTTATTTTCTTTATCCAGCAACAGTACTCTAAGAATGGCATAAATCATAGGCATAACTAAAAATCTCTGTATCATTTCTAAATTCCAAAATCTATGTTGCATTTCCCACTAGCTCAGGGTCTTAGCTCACTGTCTGGATTTTAGAACTGACTTTGGCAGAATGATTCCCATATTCCAAAACCAAGTGAAAATTAATAAACCTCTGGCTTGTACACAGTCACTAAATACATACTGAGATCAGAGACATGCTATCTACAAAAGCATAAAAGGCACAATTCCAGCCCTTAAGAAACTTAAGGTAGGATATGATCCCATTTGGGGATGAGAGTAAAGCAAGAGATTCTGCATCCCTTCAAATATTCAATCTACAAAACCTACATTTGGTGCTGATCTTACACAGTCAACCCATACTTAGTAGTAATAGTAGAAGAAGAAATACTGGTAGTAGTAAAAATAAGAGCAGTAGTATTAGAAGGGAGGGTTGCAACCACTTGTTGTCTATTTACCATGTACTTAAGCACTGTAACCTATTCAGGTTACATGTATTAGCTCATTTAATCCTCACAACAACCCCATGAAATAGATACTGTTATGAAGCCTATTTTACAAAGTCTATGAGGAAACTGAGACTCAGGAAGGGGAAAGAAACTTGTTTATAAAGATAAAACCAGGGTCCCCCTAGTAGCCTAGGGGTTAAGTCTCAGCACTATTGCCGCTGTGGCCCGAGTTTGATCCCTGGCCAGGGAGCTAATCCATATATGACGCAGCAGACCTCTCCTGTCTCGCCCACTGCTCCCCTTAGCAGTGTATGTCAGTTAATCCACCTATTCTGCTCCCCACTCTGTCTCTGGTGAATCCTCTCACCCCCCATACCTCTGGCCTGCACCCCAGTTCTTGTATGCATAAATAAAAATAAATCTTTAAAAAAAAATAAAGATAAAACCAGAAAGTCATAGAGTTGGAATGCCAAACAGTTCTTCCAGACTTCTAAGCCTGAGCTCCAAACCACCACACCAAACTCACTCTCCAGGGCCTCTGTTTGAGACATACATAAAAATTTTGTTTTTCTTTTTAAACATTTATTTTTATTTTTTTATACATACAAGAACTGGGGTGTAGGCCAGAGGTGCAGGGGATGAGAGGATTCACCAGAGACAGAGTGGGGAAGCAGTACAGGCAGACTAACTGAAATACACTTCTGAGGGGAGCAGCAGGCGAGACAGGAGAGGTCTACTGTGCCATATGGATTAGCTCCCTGGCCGGGTATCAAACTCATGCTACAGTGGCTGGTGATAGCTTGATATTGCTGAGACTTTAACCCTCTGAGCCACCAGGGAGGCGCCACACTAAAATTTTGATCAGAGATTTGTGTTTGAGTTTTGGTTCTAGCCATTTTGTAGTTGTGTGACCATTGACCTAATATTAAATCTGAGTCTCAGTTGCCTCCTCAGTAAATGGGGAAACATTTTCTTATGCTAAGGAAAACATCCACGCCTAATCCAGGTGACCAGAGGATGTCTTCAGGAATGGGGACACTGTTAAAGTTAAGGCAAGGGTAATGAGGCATTTGTGTTGGGCCCCTATTGTCAGAAGCGATGGCATAGTTTGAGAAGGGCAATGTATTATATAGAACCTATAAAAGGGGAGGCTTAGATAGTACAAGATAATCAGAGACTCCAGGCCTGCCCAGGGGAGCATGCATGTATCCAAGGCAGCGGAAAGAAGAATTTGGTTCCTTGGCCAGTCTTTCCCCAGATCTGAGGTGTGGTGGAGTCTAGAGCCAGGCTGCTCAGGTTCACATGCCCCTCTGCTATTGACTAGGCTGCCTGAGTTCCCTAACCGCTCTGGGCCTTAGCTTCTCATCCATAAAAAAAGCTAATAATATTGCCTCCATAATAATGCCTCCCTTGGTTTGAGGATTAAATGAAAGAGCTTAGAATAGTGCCTAGGGCCTCCCTGGTGGTGCAAGGGGTTAAGCACCACACTATGAAGCAATTCGCAGCTCCTGCAGCACAAGTTCAATCCCCGGGTGGCCAGGGAGAAACCCACATAGCTCAGCAGACCTCTCCTGTCTTGCCCCTGCTCCCCTCAGCAGTGTACTTCGGTCAATCTGCCTGTTCTGTTCCCCACTCTGTCTCTGGTGAATTCTCTTACCCCCCTCCCCCACACCTCTGGCCTGTACCCCAGCTCTTGCATGCATAAATAAATAAATCTTAAAAAAAAAAAAAAAAAAAAGAATAGTGCCTAGCATAGAGTAAGTGCTCAAAAAAATGTTTGTATTGGTGACACAGTCTGTCAAGATCAACCCATTTTCTTTGCTTTAATTCTCTTGTGCTCCTAGGCAACTTTTGATTATAGTTAAATTTTGTGATTCAGGAGAGAATGCTTGGGCTGGCTGGGAAGTGAATTGTTATGCTAGATATTTCTTCTTTCAAAGTAACACTGTTATGCTGTGGATGTCATGAATTCAGGTCACCAGTATGACCATGATTCTTGGTCTATCTTGATTCATAGGTATCAAATGATAAAAATGAGTGTCAACCCACACAGTGACAGAGCAGAATGAGCATGGCTGGGTCTTCAGAGGGGCAATGCTGATACCCAAGAGTCTACACTCAATGGCCAGCCTGCCTCCTTCCCATTTTCTCTATACTTTCCCAACTTCTTCCACTTGCATGAATTACCAAAACCAGAGGACAGTGGAGCAACAGTTATGAGCTAGGGTTGCAGACTCAAAGGTCAGCCTCTGGGATGATCTCTGTTGAGGAAGAACATCCTCTTGGTGGAGTTCACTTGCACCTGGGTCAGGACCGCACCTACCTACTCTGGACAGAAGATAGCATCCCTTTGTTGTTGCCGATCAGTTCTTCTTGCTCTGTGAGTTGCACCAGAAGTTTCCCTCTTTCTTGGAGCAGGACATCATTTTGTGCAATGACCTCATCCTGGAAAGCTTTCTCCTAGGAGTAATAAAGCCCCTGTGTTACCATAGCAGAAGAAAGCATTGTAACTTTAAGATTATTGACCTGTTTCTCTAATGTAACATCAAATTTCTCATTTACTTTTTCTCTCTTGTCCTCTAGTCTGTTTTCATCTGTTTGCTAAAATTTCCAGTTATATAGGATGATTTATTTTGGTTATTTTAAGTCATATATTTTGTTTGGACATTAAATCATTCATTTGGGCTGACATTTAAAACTATTTGAGCACTGAACATCCAATAAGGACCCAATGCTCTTACCTGTATTCTAATCCCATAGGTACCAGACCACTGACAAATACAACTCAATTCTGCAGTGTCATATTGAAAATGTTCCCGTATAATACCTTTCCATCTGCTTTGTAGTTACACTCTTCTTAAGGCAAAGGGAGGAAAACAGGAATAGAGCTACCACACTTTGTAACCAGCGTCAGGATCTCAGGTGGCTCAGGAAATCAAGCATGTAAGCCAAGCTCTAGCATGTTCTCCCAGTGATGATGCTGAAATGATTTCTGGCTTGACACCATGTTTCATTTCCTACCAGTGATTTTCCCTGAAAGCAATAGCTGGTGAATTTATAGCTAAAATGGTAAGAAAGTGTATTTTGTGATAAAACACAAACATTCTTATATTGGATGAGTCAATAGATATTAAAAATCATGATCAGTGTAGCATTTAAAAGTTTAAAGATGTAACAGCAACATGGATGGAGTAAGAAGAGAAAATCCTAAAATAAATAAGTCAGAAGGAGAATGATAAATACTGGATGACATCACTAATATGTGGATTATAGTGAAACCAGGGAAAGACAACCTTAAAAGCTAACCCTTGAAAACTGACTAAAGAACCAAAGCATCTAAAGGGGGGAAGGGGTGAGGGGTAAGTACGTATAAAGAAGGAAGGAAGCACAAAGGGCTGTGGTGGTGGACTAAGTGATTTGGTGGTGGGTACCCTACTGTGGAAGAACCCTAACGTTACAGTGAAAAGAATAAATTATTATTTAAAAAAATGAATAAAAATTTTAAAATATAGAATTGCCCTTATCTCATCCATGAGCTGTCAGCAGTAATAGGCAAGTGTCTTCACCATTTCATGTGTGTGTTTTTTTTAAAGATTTATTTATGCATATAAGAACTGGGGTACAGGCCAGAGGTGCGGGGAGGGGGGTGAGAGGATTCACCAGAGACAGAGTAGGGAACAGAACAGGCAGATTAACTGAAATACACTGCTGAGGGGAGCAGTGGGCAAGACAGGAGAGGTCTGCTGCACCGTGTGGCTAGCTCCCTGGCTGGAGATGGGACTCGTGCTTCAGAGGCTGTGGACAGCTTCACAGTGCTGTGCTTAATCCTTTGTGCCAATGGGAGGCACATCATTTTGTGTTTGTTCCTCACCTGCCAATGATGGCAGTGACTGGGGGTGGGAGAAGAATAACAACCTTCTGGCAGATGGGTGAATCACGGGATTAGGAGGGGCAACTTTCTTTCAAATAAGGTGTTCAAAGATATCATTCAGAAAAGACTGTCCATCTATTGTTAAAGAATTAGAAGGAAGGAAATTACATTGTGTTCTGAAACAAGTCAATATAGATTTTAAAGTCATTCATCCAGGGCCGTCAGTGTCTAATGATAATCTTCCTGCTATTGTGTAAGTACAATGATGATAAGGAATGAGAATCAAAGCAATCATCCCATAAGTAACTATGCAGTTAAACTCTATTGGAAAGGAAATTGGATGAGACAGGTTAGAGACATTCTGCCTTTTGAAATGCCAAAATTTTTTGAACCCTAAATCAAGAGACCTGCTTTAATAATAGGAGAAAATATTTTGGAAAATCTGGTTTCTAGTATACTGTTGATGGTCACAATAGTATAAATAGAAGATGAAGGAATGTAGCCCCAAATGTGGCAGCTGGAGACCTGGTGCTGAGAAAGTGAACTAACCTTTTTTATGCTCAGTATTCTGGTTCATGAGCTCCAAAATAAGTAAAATCAGGACCTGCAGGTTTATACTGCAGTGGCATTAAAACACACATCTCAGTCTTCTCTAAACTAAGTAATTCTAATTCTTAATTTCCAATTCAGTTTCTCTTGTGAACTATATAAACACCAATTAACATGCTTCCAAGAGATTTTTACATCAAAAAGAAGAAAATGACATCTGTGAAAAATTTTATGTGTCAACTACCATTTTAGGTATTTCATACTTGAATAATCCCCAAACCTTGTAAGGTAGGGTTTATTTTCCCCATTTTACAGATGAGTAAAATTATATCAGTGACTTGTGCAAGGTTACAGAAGTGTTAAGTGGCAAGGCTAGACTTTGCATCCAAGTCTAAGGCCAGAGACCATAGCTCCCTTCAATTAGTCAGAAAAAGGACTAATTCCTCTTTTCTAGCTTCTACTTAATTGCAGCCTCCAGTCTCTTTTGGGGGACCTTTTGGGGTTCTTTGGGTCATTAGTTTCCATGTGCTGCCTTAACAAATTACCAAACTGGGCAGCTTAAAACAGTAGGAATTTATTTTCTCAGAATTGGATGGTGAAATTAAGGTGTTGGCTGGACTTTTCCGGGGGCTTTGAAGGAGAATTTGTTCAATGTTTCTTTCCTAGCATCTGATGGTTGACTTAGAGTTGTATTCTCTCTCAATCTGCCTTAATCATCACATGCCCTTCCCCAGTGTGTGTCTGTGTGTTCTCTCTCCCTCTAATGCAGGACACTGGTCTTATTGGATTTAGGGTTTGTTTTAATCCAGTATGGCCTCCTCTTAACTACTGACACCTGTAAAGACCTTATTTTCAAGTTAGATCACATTCTGAAGTTCCAGAGAGACATGAATTTTGGAAGAATACTCTTCAGGAAGAAAACATGCTGACTGAAAGTATGCTTAGAAGTGGAAGGTAGGCAGTATGGGAAAGGCTGGGCAGTGTAGAAGTGGTCTGACCATATTTCTGGTGGACCCACGAACTGGGATTGCAACTTTCTGTATATACTCCCCATATCGTTTTTCTAGTTGTGCTTCTGTAGGGTAAGGTAAAAAAGTATCAGGCTTTTCTGCCCTCCCGCCATTAGGATTAATGATGGATCCTTGTGGTCCAGAATGTATGCCTAATGGCGGGCACCTAGAGTAGGGTGTGGGCATGTGTAGATGGGATTCACCTGAGCTGAGAGACTGAGCTTATAAGGGCGGTGTCAGGGAGGGGAGGGAACCCCAGCAGAAGCAAAGCAGCAGCGAGAAGAATGAATGAGAGAGCAGAATCACGAGAGAGAACGTGAGAGACGGCCGGAGAGCCCAGAAAGAGTGAAGACTTGCTAGCCTCCCAGCCCCCTAGTACCCCTACCTGCTGTGTACCTGGTAAATCCCAATAAAGCCTGAAAAGCCACCAAAGGCTCGAGGACTTCTCCTTTACCCCGTCTGCTCCGGTCATAGAGATCCTCTCCGCCCCTTCCTGCCCTTACAGCATCTAACCCAGATCTGAGCCTTTAAAGATTTGATGAATTGGTAATAAAACTGAAGGATACTGCAAAATCTGAATGCCCTCTCTCACTACAGGTTAGCGTACCCATAGGATTTTTAGAAACTAAGAATACAACATTGGTGACTCCTCTGCTCTAATCCATCAATGTTTTGTTGTGTGTGAGTGTAGGGTAAGGAAAAATGTCAGGCTTTTCTGCCCTCCCGCCATCAGGATAGATGATGGATCCTTGTGGGTCCTGAACGCATGCCTGATGGTGGACACCTGGAATAGGGTGTGGGCCTAGGTAGATGGGATTCACCTGGGCTGAGACTGGGCTTTTAAGGGCGGCGTCATGGGGACGCCAGCAGAAGCCGAAAGAGAAGCAGAGAAAGAAGCTGAAAGAGAAGCCAAGAGCAGAGAAGCAGAGAGAATGCCGGAGAGCCCAGAAAGAGTAAAGACTTGCTGGGGGCTGGGAGGCCTGCCAGCCTCCAGGCCCCCCAGCGCCCCTGCCTGCCGTGTACCTAGTAATCCCAATAAAAGACCTGGAAAAGCCACTGAGGACTCTGACTCCTCCTTTACCTGGTCTGCGGGATCAGAACACCTGCTCAGTGTCCTTCCTGCCCCTACAGTTAGTCTACGATTTTTTTTTTTTTTTTTTTTTTTTTTTTTGTGGGACCCTCGCTGGAGGCCAGGAAATGAACCGGCACTGCAGAGGCTGACGGGCAGCCTCGCAGCACAGCGCTCAACCGCTGTGCCACCAGGGGAGGCCCATTCTACGAATTCTTAACTGGAGTTCAGTGATTCCATGGTCTATGGAAAAACTGAAATGATATGAATTGTTGGGATACTTGGCAAGCAGTGGTACTATAATGAATTTGTACGTGGAAATGAGTATTTTAGGAGGGTAGGATTTTAAAAATTCTGAAATTGCCTAGAAATATGGAAGGGAAAAATTTTTTTCTAGTTCAGTCAGTTGCTCTCCATTTTGAATTTACATAAGTTAATGATCTCCAGACCATTCTGCATTTAATTCCATTCATCTATCCCATTTCCTTCTTACCCACCCACCTGGAGGTCACCAGAGCAATAAGACAAACATAAAGGAAGCAGGGATATTTAAAATAAAAGTGGAGGTACTTGTCAGGGATTGATAAGAGTAGGAACCACCTAATTTCATAACCACTTAAAACTGACAGAAGTTTGAGGCAAAATCCTTATGTAAAGCAGGGATGAGTTACGAGGGATGGTTTAGAAGTCTCTGCTGAGGGAGTGTCTAAGAAAAGCGTTTTCACGTGAAGGCAAAACACTGACCATAAATTGGTGTGCAGAGACTTCAGGGTCCAAACTGGTTTAGCATCACTCCAGGTCTTACATCTTAGCAGGGCTTAAAGAGTTACATTGAAAAATAAAGGTGCAAAGAAAGGAAATGAAAACATGAGCTACAAGAGGTCACAAATTTAAAAATGAGCGGGCTTTCGCTACATGACCAACCACCAGCATCATGAACGAGCTCTTCCCCATTTTTCCCTCACCTTTTCCATTTGTAGTCGCAGTAATTCATTTCCATTTTCGAGTTCTTTAATTCTCTTATCTCGTAGTTCTACTTCATGAACTAAACGATCCTTGATTCTGTGATGCTTGACTTTGTAATGGTGATGTTTCTCATTATAGTTTCTATAAAAGTAAATTTAAATATAGGCACGCCTGAACACAGCCAACATTTATTTCGCCTCCGCAAGATCCACCCTTTCTTGAGTTTCCTCTTCTTGGTCAGGGCCTGGCACCAGGTGTGGGAATACACCCTGCCTCACATCTGCAGGACTTCTTGCCCCAGTGGGGGAATGGATCAAGGACAACCTCATAAATAACAAAAGCTTTAGTCATCCCCATGGAATTAAATCTCAAGCTTATCTTGGTCTTGAACTGAGGGTAGTGGCAAAGCTTTAACATCTGAGTTTAATTTAGGGAGCTCCTTGACTTCTATTCCTGACATATAAGTTCTGAATCCTGCTCCATTGATTCACTCATTAATTTAAAATCTCCCAATTCCTGGCCATACTCTTAACAGTGATAGAACCCACTTTCATCTTGTCTAACTTCCAGATAATTTGGGTTTGCTCTTAGTCTTCGCCTTGAATCTGGACTTGCAAATACAATACTACATAGGTCTCTGCTCAAGGCTCTGATTCTAATATAAATCTGAGTTACAGCCAAAAAGCACATGAAGAGATGTTGAATATCATTAGCCATTTAGGAAGTACAAAATCAAAATCACAGTGGTTATTTTTTGGGTCTAGGAATGCTCAGAAATTTTTATATATAAATAAATGGTAACAGCGTTCTCAGACCCAAGAAATAAATAACCTACCAAATCATACCAAATAGGATTGTTCTGGTTTGGGTAGTGGGAGAAACCTGTATCATTTGGCTATAAATGGGAATAAAACAATGATAAATGCTACAACATGGGTAAACCTGGAAAGCACTCTGTTGTTGTAGAGCAACCCCGATACAAAACGGGGTGCCTGACTGTGGGTCCTCACCCGCGCGCTTAAAAGGACTTATCAATGCTCTACTGCAGGCACACGTGAAAGGTTAATAAAAGGTTTATTTACAAGGGAAGGGGAAATGAGGAAATGTACAGCTCTGGGAGAAAAGTGGGAGACAAAGTTTTAAATGAGTCCTACCCAATCTGCCGATCAGGAATCCCAAAATGGCGCTCTCAGAGTTGGCCGCCAGCCAGGAGCGGTGAAGCCAGGAGGCGAGAGATCACGAGCCAGCCACCCCAAGGCCCACGTGTTTGGTTTTTATATCCAACCTGGCTACCCAACTCCACCCTCAGGTCCCAGCCACCCTCCCTTGGTGGTGATGGGATTTGTCTTTCCCAGTGTCTTGATGGCTTTAGTCTGAAGTGGGGCTGGGGTCCACAAAGCCTATATGGGATTAACTCAGGACATCATTTCCCCCTAACATTGTGTTTAAAAAGCCAGTCACAAACAAACAAAAAAACACATGTTGTATGGACTCAAGTTTACATGAAATGTCCAGAATAGGTAACTAGAAAAAGTAGATTAGTGGTTGCCTAGGGCTGGGAATGGGGGTTGAAATTGGGGATAGGGGTGTGGTAGCTAAAGGATTTAATGAAATGTCTAAATTTGATTGTGGTTGTAGGGTAAGGGAAAATGTCAGGCTTTTCTGCCCTCCCGCCATCAGGATAGATGATGGATCCTTGAGGTCCTGAATGCATGCCTGATGGCGGGCACCTGGAGTGGGGTGTGGACCTAGGTAGATGGGATTCACCTGGGCTGAGACTATGCTTTTAAGGGCGGCATCACGGGGACACCAGCAGCAGCAGAAGCCGAAAGAGAAGCCGAGAATGGCAGAGAGACAAGAGAGAGTGCGGATTTGCTGGGGGTTGGGAGGACTGCCAGCCTCCCGGCCCCCCAGCACCCCTGCCTGCCAGCTGAACCCCAATAAAAACCTGCAAAACCACTGAGGACTCTGACTCCTCCTTTACCCGGTCTGCATGGGATCAGAAAACCTGCACCGTGTCCATTCCTGCCCCTACAGTGGTGATGGACTAAACACCATTGAATATATATACTTTAAATGAGTGAGTGGTATGGTATGTGAAATACATCTGAATAAACCTGTTAAAAGAACAAAAATCTAAGTCAAAATTTCAAGCTATTAAGACAGCTAATCTGAGCAAACAATAGATAGCTTCCATGCCACTATTAGGCAGACCTCTTTGAAGATGAACATGCTTCCAAAATAATATTAAGACTTTCTTCAAATTAAAAATGGGGTTTTCTTTGAAATTTTTAAGTCTGATAACACCAAATCACTCTAAGCACTATTGACATTTTGGGCCAGATAATTATTATGGAGGCCTGTACTATGCATTGTAAAATGTTGAAACAGCATCTTTGGCCTCTATCCTCTAGATACTAGTAGTACTTTCTATAGTGCATGTAGGGTAAAGAAAATGTCAGGCTTTTCTGCCCTCCCACCATCAGGATAGATGATCCTTGCGGTCCTGAATGCATGCCTGATGGCGGGCACCTGGAATAGGGTGTGGGCATAGGTAGATGGGATTCACCTGGGCTAAGACTGGGCTTTTAAGGGCGGTGTCATGGGGATGCCAGCAGCAGCAGCAGAAGCCAAAAGAGAAGCCGAGCGAGAAGCAGAGAAGCAGAAGCAGAGAACGCCAGAGAGCCCAGATAGAGTGAGGATTTGCTGGGGGCTGGGAGGACTGCCAGCCTCCCGGCCCCCCAGCACCCCTGCCTGCCACGTACCTGGTGAACCCCCCCAAAAAACCTGAGGGCTCTGACTCCTCCTTTACCCTGTCTGCATGGGATCAGAAAACCTGCACTGTGGTCCAGTTCTGCCCTTATGGTGCAACAACCAAAAATGTTTTTAGACATTGCCAAAATGTCCCCTTACCCTGAGGCAAATCACTCCCAAACTGAGAATTACTGTCCTAACTAATGTTTCAAAACTAGGTTTTCTCTAAGAGCAGTGATTCTGTTATTCTAAAGATTTATTTATTTATACATGTAAGAGCTGGGGCATAGGTCAGAGGTGGGGGGCGGGGAGGGGTGAGAGGATTCACCAGAGACAGAGCGGGGAACAGAACAGGCAGATTAACTGAAATACACTGCTGAGGGGAGCAGCGGGCGAGACAGGAGAGGTCTGCTGTGACACGTGGGTCAGCACCATGGCCGGGGATCAAACTCACGCTGCAGACAGCTTCATAGTGCTGAGACTTAACCCCTTGCACCACAAGGGAGGCCTGTTTGTTATTCTAACCAGTATTATCAGCACCACCTGGTAACTTGTTAGAAATAGGAAGTCTTCAGACTCTATCCCAAAACTACAGACTCAGAGACTTAGGGTGGATCTGTGTTCTAACTAGTAGTGCAGGGAGTTCTGATGCATGCTCTAGTTTGAGAAATCCCTGACTTTCCTGAATGTCTAAAAATGTGGATTTTTTTTTAACTGAAAGTGTTTAAGGAATGAGGAGTCTACTCTTTGTCATTGTAGGCACTTAAGGACACAGTTATTCATGCCCATGTTGCTGGTTACAGATGACAACTGTCCTTACCTGGGATGCTATCTCTCAAAATGGAGGAAGCCCCTCTAACTGAAGGTAATAAATGTATGTTCTGGGCTTTTCACATAAGTCCGATTTTAATGCAAACTTGTGAAGGCTATCTCCTCACTCTGAATCAGGAGATGAAGACTGTGCACTAAGCTCTTAGCTACCGGGTGTCCTTACCCTTCACATTCCAAAGAAGGGACTGGCCCTTGACTGTTCTTGGGAGATGACCTCTTGCCTCTGGAATAGCCTGCCTGATAAGAATGTCTGTGTACCTGGGGCCTTGGGTCACACCAGATAGTTTATGTTAACAACATGATATATTGTGAATATATAACAATGTGATATATGGTGAATGTTTTTGTTCACCAAGGGCCCTGGGCCACCCTGTTTCAGTTTGACATCTGGGGAGTGGGGGACTGAAGGTTGAGTAGATAGGGTCAATTACCATGGCAATTCATGTCTATGTAACAGACTCACAGTAAAATCCCTGGACTTCAAGGCTCAGGTGAGTTTTCCTGGTGGGGAATACTTCATACATGTTGTCAGACATGGCTGCTGGGAGAACTGAGTGCTGGCCAAACTACTCCCCTGGGAAAGGACAACTGGGAGTTTACTTGTGTCTTGTTTCTCCCAGACTGTCTTTTCCCTTTGCTAATTTTGATCTTTTTGTTATAATAAATGACAATCATGAGTGCAATAGCCTTTCTGAGTTCTGTGACTTCTCCTACTGAATCACCAAACCTTAGTGCTTTAGGACTCCCAGCCCAGAGGGGAGACACTTTTGCAGAGAAGAATCTGACCTCAGAGCTTGTGATCTCCCCAGTATACCCTAAGGATAAGATACCAGCAAAATCAGGCAAACCAGATAGTCCTGATTTCTCCTAGTAAGATGTTTTGTTTTGTACTAGAACCAGGAACTAAACAGGAGGAGAAGAGAAAAGCAGATTTATCTAGATGCTAATTCTAGTCAAATTGTAATGAAGAGCTACTTCTAGAGAGTCTTACGTTCTATTTGTAAATGAATTCTTACCCCTACTTGGTTTTGCAAGACTCCTCCACTTTCCAAAACTGCCCTCTCCCCTTGTTGCTGATTGTACATTAAAACATAATGTATGTTTTCCCCTTAAAAAATCATTTTTCTGAAGATTAATTAGGCTGCTAGCCAGAAACCAGACTGAGAAGTTTGGATTCCTGTAGATCAAAAAGAAAAAGCAAACCATCCTAGGCACAGCTTGTGTGTGTGGCAGTGATTGTCTTCTGGGGTTGTCCCCAATTCATTTTCTCCTTCTATCATTATGGGCCCTATGATATTTAGCTTGGCAGTTGGTTGCCCAATATGTGAACTACATTTTCTGGTTTTCCTTGCAGCTAGATGAGGGATATAAGTTCTGTCCAATGGAACATTAGTAGAAATAGTGTGCTTTAAAAGAAAGTGGAATGCCCTTGCCTTCCCCTTTCTTTCTCTTGGTTGACTGGATAAGGTAATGAATCATCTTGAAGTATACAGATAAGGGTAACATGTTAAAGATGCTAGAGTGGAGCCTCCCTGGTGGCCTAGGGGTTAAGACTC